TCCATCTAAACTCTCGCATTAATGAATACATAATATATTAGTCATAAGTTAAAAATAAGAAACATTAGGTTAATCGGTAATAAAAAACTTATCTAGAGCGAAAGAATTGTTTACAAAACCAGGTCAGTTGAGACTAAAATAGGTCAAGTTGTTATTATCTTCTACAGTATTATCTCTAGACAGATTACAAACTTACTATATTATTAATTTCACTGGCACATTACAATACAATGGCAAGATCATGCTGTAATCAGTTTAATGGATTACATTCCAAACGTATTGTGACATTCGACTCATCGAATTTACGAAACACAATGGTACGTTTCGTGATTGTTACGTATTGATACAAAAACTTTGAAAGAAAATAGAATCGACGTCGTAACTTATTTATTAATTAATTTAAAAAAAAGTCCTTTATAACCCTAACAACTTTTGAACAAAATATTAAAAATAAATGTAAAAAATTTCGAATAAAATTGCGTCGTTGCTTTTCGTTTTAGTAATAATCGTACATTAGTATACTGTTAATCCATCCCGAACGACATCATAGCAAACAATATATCTGCAAATTAATCAAAGTTTGAAATAATTTAAATATTGATTTAACTCCAGTAAGTAGCGGGGCGGAGGCGGAGGCTCGCGAGCCGTGCAAATATTTGTCGACGGCAAACAGCAATATCACTGCGCCTCCCGGCGATGCCCGCCCGCTTCCGTACCACAATCGGGGCTTGATATGATAATGACGTACTCGCAATCACGGCTACATTCGATACGCAATAGATTTAAATGAAATTCGAGGGCTTCAAAGTAAACATAAATTTATAATAAACTGCCATTTATAAAGAGATATTTAAACGCATCTCTGCGCTGTATTTTCTACATATGAGTAGCATTAAAAAAAGCAAATTTCAATACTAGCCTATTTTTTTTAATGTAATAGCGAAGCATAAAAATTATTTATTACTTTGTAAAGTGTAAAATAACGGTTGAAATAAGCTATGAGATAATTTGATTGTATAAACCTAAAGAGAATACATGAGTCCAAAGCTGCGGCTATTAACGGGTTTTAGGGCGTGAATATTTGATGTGCGCTGGTGTCACTCCAGTCTCCAGGGAAGGGTACATACTAAACTGTACCAGCATTTAATTATGGGGTAGCTAAAAGGGAATAGATTTCAATTAACATTACGCCGTGATTCGCAACGCCTTCTTAATGTATAGTTTAAATTGAAATTTAAAATTCACACTGTTTATATTAATTAAATATCAGATTCACTTTTAAAAAAGATTAAGAAGTATTCAAATTTAATTAACGAAAGAAAATATGTTGTATTTTATTAATAGAAAGAAACTGGTACTATTTACCTTCATTTGGATAAACTAAGTGAATATTTATAAAACGAAATTCTTTATTCAAATAAAACGAGATAAGAATCTCTTTAGAAAGCGAATAAGGACAGTAACTCTAACCAACTCACTTAAGACTTCACAAACGAAAAGAAAGAAGCCGAAAAAGGGAATATTCTTAAAGGAATTTAAATAAAGTCGAGCTGAGGGTGAGCGAGCTCCTGTTACTTAAAGACAAACGAGAACTAATAAAAATGCCAAAATAAAAACGGGCAATTTTAAAGCAGTTGCAAATGGATATAAATCTCTTATTTAAATTCAGTTCCGTATAACAAATATTGCAATAAAAAGGGTCGCAGGGAATACGAAATGTCTAGTTAAAATATAATTATGATTTTGTTTTTATTTCTTTGTGTTAATGAGCTTTTCGGTGTTAATAACAGACTGCTTACTGTCGCAATTACCTTACCCTTAAATAATTAAGTTCTTAAAAGATAAATAAATATATTAAAACTAGTAAAAAGAGAGCTTCTTAACTTATTTTTAATGTCAAAATTAAACATTCTTTGAAATTGTACTCGCGATAGAAAAAAGCGACTTCTCATCCTAATGAAATCCTCAATAAGCACAGTCCCTAACGGAAACAATAAGCATCTTCCCAACAGACCCCTTAGTTTAAGTTCACGATGAACTACAGTGACAACACAACTTAGGAAAATACAGAGACATCCAATCTTTGACACATTCTAGAGATGTACAAATTTGAAATAAGTAAGCTGTCTTTATTAACATGGGCTTACACTGGTGACACTCATGACCAATAAATTCCAGCTTGATACCTTCACGCGTTCCTCAGAAAAAGGGTGTTGACAGACAGAGGGGCAGACATTAAAGTGATTCTATAAGGGTTCCGTTATTTCGAGTTACGGAACCCTAAAAAAATGTCATCTCTGGCATTCTCTATAAAAAAAGCTGCTATTAAAAAATTCTCCGAACTTATGTTTTGAAAAAACTTAAGATTCTTTGTTCCAGAATTATTGCACTATGAACGATAAATATCGTTTATTTTAATGTAACTACTAAGACAAACACTTCTACTATATCTTTAAGGACATGGTCACCGAGCGTGAAACGAGGACTGAATTGCGAAACCTATCTATTAGATAACAATGATGCCTACTTTAAGGCAAAGGAAAACTTTACTACTTAAATAGAAATCTTATCGACTTTTACTTTCCCATTGGAAGGAATCAAAATTGAGTAGCAAACAATGAAAACAACAGAATAAAATAATCTTGAACCAAAATCATTCGTATATTCTGTACAAAATGTACATTAAGGAACAGCTTAAGTAAATATTTAAAGATTTTGAGGCTGTAAGAGTTTTGTAAAATAACTTCTCTGATCTACCAATTAAATAATCTAGATCTGTTAAGAGCCATCCATTTTTGCTTATCTACGCTTAACGTTTTTGAATATCTTGCTTTTTAAGAATCGTATACGAAAGTCTATTACTTATAATATTATTATACAAAAACCATTGAAATTGGCACATTATTACCGTGAATGCAAAAGAGCTATAAAGAAAAAAATGTGTACGTAATTTGAAACATGTCGACGAGCGGTCTATTGACAAGGATGCAATATCGCCTCCCTCCCTATTATACCGTAGCAAACAATACTTAAATGCCCACTCATCTTTATATTGCCAGTATCGATTTTATACAGAAACTCTCAGTAATGAGAACGTTTACGTACAAATCATAACCAAAAGTCTCTTAGTTAAGTGCCTTAATTCTTATTTAGCAATCTAAAATCACTATTAAGAAAGAAGTTCTCCAAAATAAGTGTCCTAAAAATGGTAACATTGGGTTTGTCGATTGCAATAATACTTTATAAATTAAGCAAATAAAAATAACTAATTAAAAATTATTGAATTCGTAAGATGAGAAACGAGTTATTTAGAAATTTATATTTTATAAACTACTAACAAAACTGGTAAGCTTTATAATCGAAAACAAGCTTTGGACTAAAGTTACCCAACTTAAACTTCCAAATCTAGAGAGATTTCCTTTGTTTGAATTCGCTCAAACGATTTTTAGTAAAGTAATAAAATATGAATATGAAATAGTTTTTAAAAGTTTTCTTAATGTGCCAGAAACAAAAAAGGATGTTTCTAGCACAATGTGACTACTTTATAAATAATATTGATGTGATTCGGACTCCGGCCCTCCGGTCAACCATACGACGGTGAGGTAGCGGCCATTCGTCACGCGGTCACACAACCATTAATTTCTATAGAAAAATACATTCAAAGCTTTTACAGCACTTTCGATAACATCACAACTACATTAGACCTTTATTTTTCACGTAGTTTACCTATAGCTCTAGCATAAAACAGTTTTTATGCGTTTTTATATGGGCGGTACATAATGATTTCTCAATACATAATAAACATTTTATATGGTGCTAGGTATAGACGACCAATTAAACACTAATTTTCTATCAATCTAGCTCCTAGATTCATTTATTTACATTTTAACGGTGGTAGACACCTTTTTTTCCAGAGAGGAATGCTTTAAGCTTACTCCGCGCCCCGGGGGGGACGCGGTAGTTATGTGGGTTTCTCCTCCATAGCGGAGGCATACCCACTAAACCACTCTGTTCCTCCATCGTATCGGGACGGGGCCACGTGCACGCTTTCGCTCTCGTCCGCGACCCCGTCTGC